TAATCATGCAAATTACGATTCATGGAACCACCGTCACATGTGTGGAAACGAAGAACGTATATTTTGCATAGGCTCTAATTAATTTTAGAACAAAATCGTAAGATCAAACTATTCTGAATCCCTACTACAGATTTTTAAATATTTTGATCCACAGTCGAGAAAATCAATTTAATTTCAAAGTTCATGAAAGATCAAGTCCTGGTCTCTTGAAAAATAATAGAATTAACTGAACAGCCCAGACACCTGAAACGAGTAATCACTGCAAAAAATGAGTTTTAGACATGCTGGTCAACAATTAATAAAATTATATGTATTCCAAAAGCTATTGTTCAATATTAGAATGTTACAGATCAATACTGAAATAATCATTTTGCTCAATTTATGTACATTACAATTTCAACTTTCTTCTTCGTTTATATTACAACAAAACCACACTCGTAGCGACTTAGAAAAGATGGATTTTTGAGTCTAGAGAGTTACTGTAAGTAAGAAATACTAATACAAGTTCATTATATCTTCTCTTAAGGTAACCTTACATTTTTACTGATCTCGATTTGAAGAACATTTCAAGTTTTCCGTTACTCACATTACCTTTTTTGTAAATACCAATTTCTGAATTAAAGACGGTCACCTTCCACGCAATGGAGCCGTGTTCAGCAGACGACTTTCACCGGATGGAGAAAAGGGCAAAATAAAGCGTTAAGATATGCCTTCGCCCTGGCAAAGTAAACACCTCCCACTGTTTCTCTTTGCCTGAATCCGAGAACTTCAGCAGGCTACATTTGACGTATTCCCCAAATCAATACATGGAAAATGAAGGCAGATTTTAACGTTTCGCAGATAAGCTGGGTTATTTCTGGAACGGTAGTTCTGCGCACAGAATACGAGATTGAGAGCAAAACCAATGCGTCATCTGACTCGTCATGAGGAAAAATTGTCCTTTTTACATTGCACTCTTTCTCGCGAGGAAAATGTCCATCTAAAATCGATCGACAACAGACGGCAAATTTTTAAACCTAGGACGAAAATGCTCAATTTTAACAACGGAATTCAGGACTCCTTATTATCTCACATGTGAGTTCTCTTACAACGCGCAATACTTACGTATCGCGGACGTTAATAATGAGTTTCTCACGCTTACTCCGTAAATAACATTGTCATTGAAATTAATATCATTTACATTTCAAAATGAACTTAAATACCTTTTGATAAGCGTAAATTGGTAATTGCGATGCAAACAATAAAAAGCATACAAGATAATTTGAAATATATTTAAAATTCAAATATTTCTAGATTCAACTAGCACTGAAATGGGACGTTAACCAATTCACATTTAGTAACAATTTTGCACAGTAGCGATGTTGACTGTCCATATGAGCGGAACAGTGGTTTGCGTTTCAGATTTGGTTAGTTAACACATTTTTAACGTATCACAGCGAGAGCTGTAGTCCTCATCGATTTGGGTATAAAAGTTATGTTTAATGCAAAGAATTATTACTGCCATGCTCGCAGTTTTAGCCCCAGCCTGCCATCTGGGAGCGAACAAGCGAGCGAGTTCCCGTATCATGCATGGGAGGCCCCAGGACCTGGGCTCGTAGCCTTCCCCGCTAGCACTCACGAAGCTAAACATAGCTTCACGCGTGTTTTCCAGCACTCTCCCACTAGAAAGCCCTTTATTCGACGTCGCGTAATTGTAATGATTGCAAATTAACAAAGTTAAAAGGAATTAACATTGCTCCTTGGCTCAAAACTAGCATTTACAAAAAGTCTATTTTCAAAATTTAAATCATCAGCACATTTACACTGAAATTTCTAATTATTTAAAAATATTTGCGTAAATAGTTTTAAATAAATTTTGTTAAATGTACTTAATACAAAATCAATTAATAGAAACAAACTCATATAATTACAATAAAGTTTGAAATTTTAAATGGACATGTGTTAAAAATAGAGGATTTATAATATTTCCGTTTAAGTAGCTGTTGCTTTCTTTACCCAGTTAAACATTTACTTGAGTGTTTGTAGAAGTAGTGTAAAGCATTTTTTCATGCATTTACATTTCAGCGCCAGTTTAAAGAAGACTAAAGACATCCGTTGTTTATGATAGTACGGTATGTGTGGTGTGAAACAAGCAATTGTTCTGCTGCAGGCACTCCTTTGCAAATTCCTTAATCTTTGAATGTTATACAGAGTTGCAGAAAGTAAAAAAAAACACTTTGTTAAAAAGGGAAGAACCGTTACCTTTCCCTCAAGAAGAGGCGTCATAATGTTTTGCTTGTCCTGGGTACATTGCCACTTCATTCACTACCGAATTTGTGTCCATTAGAAATCCAGGGAGCAAGAACGGTCATACAATGAAATTTTGTTTCGAATACACACTAAAAATGTCCACACCTAGCTAAGCTCTTTCGATAATATTCCGAGAACTTCATTAAGCTCTCAGTCGACTGCGCCTTTGGAGGTAAGTTACTGGTCACGGGATGTGGGGGAAAAGCGCGGGAGAGGGGGGATTGTAATGTAAATACGATGAAGTGAGAAATGATTCAAAGTTTCGCAAAAATGTCTCCTACAATAGAAACATGGTACCTCAAACACCATTCACATTTTTGCAATAATTTCTCCATTGCATTTTCAACCTTGTCCATTCTCATTTCCGTCCATCTCTGTTGTATGCATAATTTCTTTCCGCCTCCAGAACACAGGAAAGTAATAAACAATAGAATTTATGTATTTTTTTATATCGTTTAAGGATGTTGAAAACACAGATTTCATTAAGGTGACAGTTATATTGAAAAATAGTATTCCGAGCTTCAAATTTAACTAAATGTCTTCACCCTTACTCTACGAAATTTTCGCAGATTGATACGTGAACTGCAAACCATCCGTAATTGAGTCTCAAAGAGAGTTGATTCCACAAGCTACCACGACCGTCAGCACACATTCTACTACTATTCGCACATTCTAGGTAGATGTAAATCATCAGGTTTCATGCAAATTGTACATCCGAGTTTTCACACACGATAAGATTATTCTCTTAAGATTAGGCAAAATCATTACTCCGCCATTAAATAAAGAGAGTTACCGGCTTGTTTCTTACAGTTTTTTAATTTGTTCTAGTTATGAGAAGTTGCAGTTGGCCTGACTGACTAAACTCTGTCTGGCCGTGACGGCAACCCACCTTTTGCTCTGTGCAAGTGTCTGGGAAACAAAGCCCGTCCGGCAATTTAGCAGTACCGATATTGCAGTATGTGCAATTTGGAGGACGTCTCCGTACGTGGTTTTCGTAGCTCTTTAATACGTTGAACATGAAAACTAATTTTTTATACTGAAGGCGAAATAATTTAAATGTGATCACAGGCGGATCTAGAAAGTATGAAGGAAATAGTTCGAACTATACCATAAATATGTGTGAAATATTTTTTTTAATGTGCCTAAAAACAATTCATAATAAAAATGGTTTTTGAATGTGATGCGATAAATGAGAATTGGTTTCAACGCATTAAAAAAAATACGAGCAAAATGTTTGGATTTGGGGAGCCTCCTCCCCCACCGCCACCCCTGAAGATCTCTTCAGGTTATAGTTTGAATGCGATACAAACAATTTATCACCAGAAAAAAATATTTAATAATTTGCATTATTTTGCAAACAATAGGCTTTTCCCGCATCAGGAATTTTGTTTTCCACTTTTGCCAAGTGACTGTATCAGGATGTCCTTAGTTTTAGGACATGGCGTTTTTGTTGTGTTTCGCAAGCGAAGGGATTAAGTATTTCCACAGAGGAGTTCGTGGGAAACGCACTGTGTTGACCAACACAAGAGCAGCCGACAGAGACCCGAATACCATCTCGGAAATACTTCCTCTACAGTCGGAGGGAATAATTCACTTTGATCGCCACGTCATTTGGAAAACAAAATCAATTTGTGGTTTTACAGTGAATGGTTTATGACTACACAATTAACATTTTTAAAAGCTTCGGAAATGATTTCTGACACTTCAAACTCAATAAAACAGGAGTTTAAAGTAGATTTTTTTTGTTTAAGTTTTGTCGGACACTTTCGGAATATTAGGGCAGCATTTCGGTTAAAATTTTAATTATTAATGGGAACTTTTGGTAAAATTTTTCAATAATAACAGTGATAAAATTAGATAGCACATTGTGTTTCTAATTAGGAATTACTGATCAAATGCATACGTTTGGCATTTCACAACGCAGCATAAGTCGCAATGAAAAACAAGTTACATGAACTACCTTTGTGATGAAAAACAAGTTACACAAACATCCATTTGTAATGTACTCGGTTGATGGGATTGATTGGGCAACTCTTATGACAATCTCAAATTCTCATTAACACGCCCTCGAGGGGATGTGGTACACTATGTAATCAATATCGTTTTCACTCTGAAATGCCCAATCCTTTTACAGATTTTAATATATTTATTTTATTTTTAAAAGTGTATTATGGGTTGTATAGGCCAATTTTAATTAGCAATTCACTTTGTAGGTTATTTCGCAACAAACCTCGTGCCCTCATTTGTTCTGCATACTAAGATTAGGAGGACGAATTTCATTTCCTTGTTTTGATAGAGTCCATTTAAAGATGAATTATCCATGTCAAGACACGTGCGCACGAATACATAATACAGGTATCACGGCAGGACGGAGGCGAAATTTCGTTCCCCGCCTCGCAGTGCTCTGTTTCACACGCGAATTGATCGGCCGCGTGCGCTCCGTAGCGGCAGCGACGGTGGGGGCGGGGGCGGCTACGGGCGCGTGTCCGACGTGTCACGTGCCACGCAAGCAAGGTAAGCGCGGGCGCGCGCGCCTGTCTGCCGCCGCCGCCGCCGCCGCCTCGCGATGTTGCAACTACCACCAGGGGCGAGGACGGCCGCATCCCGGGGGAGGGAGCCACAAAGAAGCGACGTGCCAGCGGAGGCGGCAGCGCAGCTGCTCTTGGTGCGGAGGGGGGACGGAAGGGGGGGGGCGCCAGCTGTTCACTCACCGCGCGTGTCCTCCAGGGTCCGCTCGCCCTCGCCGTCGTTCTCGCCCTCCGGGGCGATGCCGCACTCGTGCAGCGTGAGCGGCGCGGGGCGAGGGCCGCGCGGGGGCGGCCGTGCCGCGCCCCCGCCGCTGCTACCCCCGCTGCTGCCCATCACCACCGCACTCTCCTCTTCGTCCGTCTCGTCCTCGAAGTAGCCGCTTTCGTGATCCACATTCTTGTGCACGCCCATGGCGCCACGCTCACCCGCGGCCGGGCCGCTACTTTCTCGGACGCAAACGGAGTCCCGATGCCGCTCCACCTCGCCCGTCCTCAGCTGCACGCGTGCTCCGCCGCCTCAAATGCAGTGCCGCACGCCATAACGGCCGCCAGTCACAACTGCGCAGGGCGGACAGCTCACTTCGCACTTGCGACACTCCACAACAATCGCGTCCGATTATACTCGGAAAAACTTTTCCCGCTCCAGTTTAGATTGGCCGATGTCAGTTCACAACTGTCACGTTTTTCCTCCGCGCCGCTACCACGCGCGATGCCCTCCTTCGGGTTTTAAACCCCGGGCGCACCACAACAATGGTCGGGGCGAATCCACGCAGGACTTCCCCGTGAGTGGCCGTGCCAACGCAGCGCACTTTCCGCCTAGAGACAGGCAGCCCCCGGCACCTCGCTCCCTCCTCCTCAGATTTTCACTTGTCACTCGCGCTTCCTCGTTCGCGAGCACGCCACACGAAACGCGCACGGGGGCTCGGGCAGTCACGAAGCTCGTCCGTACGACTACTGCGCTGTCCTCGGGCTCTCGAACTCGATCGCTCTGCTCTGTACCGCGACACGTTTCACCACGTTACGGAAATAGTGCGCATAAGACAGATACAGCCTCTCGCACGCGCACTCAGCCGCCCGCACGCCACAACTCCGCACTGAAGACTGGCGCAAGCCGCTCCTGGATGATTGTCCTTCCCCCTCCTTTCGCTTCCCTTCCCCTCCCGGCTCCTCCCGGCCCGTCGCCGGCGCCCCCACCGCCGTCGCGCCGCGCCGCGCCGCGCCGCGCCGTCGGCCTCCCGCACTCGGTGCCACGGAGCCCCTCCTCCCCGCGCTCCGCTCCCCTTACAACGGCTGGCGCCTCCCCCGCGCCGCTGCCCCGGCCCGCGATCAGCTGTTCGCAGCCACGCATGCGCGCAGACCCCGACGCCCGCCCGCCTGCCTGCCAGCCTGCCAGCCTGCCTGCCGAGCCGCTCGCCGAACTGGTGTTATTTTTGTAACGAGAAACAGGCTTCACATGTTCTCTCGTAGGGCCGCGACGCAGGACTATAACCGATCCCTCAATTTCAGGGCTGACAATAGCCCGTCAAGCTACTCAGAAAGAGCGCAGACCCAGTCCCGAGCGAAAGCTTCTTTCGCTTTCGGAATTTCGCAATTTTACAACAAAAATGCAGTTCAAATGCTTTGCAAGACTGCTACCATTAATTGCGCCTCCAAAACTCGTTCGTTGCGCACATTGTAGCATTCTTAACGGTACATTTCAAGTTATTTCACAGGCTCACGTGAGCTTAATAATTTCCAAATGATGGACATTGCATATCGTCAAATGAAAATCGCAGTAAACATATCACAATTTTTAACATCTACTTCGCTTCTTCGCCGTTATTGCAAATTCGAAAATTTAATGCTTTTTTTTTTTACAATGGACCTATTAAGTTTTCTCCTATTCTTTTAACTTCTGAACCGATCAGAGAAATTAATGAAAAAATACCCAATTCTTTGGGCTGTGGGTGTGAAACAGATTGTTCAAAGTTAAATAAAAATTAATATGGCGGGCTAAAAAAGGCTATGTATTTATACAAAAGTCCAGCGCCTAGACATGAAACTAATAAAAGATTTCTTTCCAACTAGTGTATAAACAAATTGTTTAGAATCGTCAGGTATTGATCCATGGTTACCATAGAAACAATACTGCTTCTTTATAAACGCATTTCATTTGTCGAAGAAAAAAGAGTACATTAAAGCTCACCTCTAATAATCCAACATTTAAAGCCATCTACATGAATGCACTAAATAAATTTGTGCAACATTGTAAGCAAGTTTGGAGCAGTGTTCCCCTATTGAACGATCTTGTGAAAAACAGAATCTTTGTTATCTTTGTCCAGGAAAAATAACCGAGTGCAATGTAATAGAATCGCTTACGGTCATTATACACATCTATTGTCACTGCGATCAGTATTTTCATCTTCACTTAATCTTCTTGAGTAGTTTAAAGTTTTGTCGCAATGCTTCCGCAGTCCTACCCATCGAAGAGAATCCAATCTCTACGATCTTATAATAGGCGAGGGGCAAACTTCGATGACTCACGTATCCTAGTTGTTGTCGTCCACTGTTAGAGCTCTAAAGCACCAAATATACCGCACGAAATTCTTCTTTGGTTAAGGTTCACTGCACTCTCTGGAAGGTAAAATCGAACTAATTCAGTTATTTGTGGGAAACTGATGATTAAAACTTGTAAACACGATCA